GTAACCGTAGTGGATGACAATATCCTACTTTTACTAATCATAACAGTTTTAGGTTTATGGTTCAGATGCCCTGCTAAACTGTGGGTTAACCTAAAATGGAAGTGGAAGCTTCGGATTACTTCTTAATTATGGTGAAGCCAGGGTGTGAGCCTGAGGCTTACGCCAGCTCGTCTTTGTAACAGTAAACCGTGGTTATGCTTGCCATGTGAACAGGGACAAAGCAGCCAATGGGGTGTATAAGGAGATGGTGCAAGGGAGAGGGAGGCACTGCCCAGATCCAATGAACCACTGAAGCTGTAGTTGGCTGTAGAAGAGGAACTCTGCTGTTCATTGGAAGGGCTAAATGCAAAACAATGAAGCACTCTGACCACTCATCTTCTAGCTCTTGAGGCATCACCTGGTGTTTTAGAGGAGGGACCATAACTGAGTGGCAGAGCACACACCTTGTATGGAGAACCTCCCCAGTTCACTCCATCCCACATCCAGAAAAATCTGGTATCAGGCAAGATGCCATTTGGATTAGATAAGACTGGGCTGTTTTGTAGGGTTGCCATATTTCAAACAGCTGAGCTTTTTTTTAGTTTTGTTGAACTTTTGGGGCAAAATCACACACAAAAAATGCTGCCATGGGCTGCCATACATTCGGATTTTCCTGGACATTTTCCTGATTTCCGCCCGGACACTGGAGAATTCCGGATACGTCCTGGGAAATCCAGACGTATGGCAACCCATCTGGATGAACAAATAGTCTTGCGTTTTCAAGGTTGCTGCTTCAGCCAAAATCAGGTCCAATAGATACAATACGATGAGTGGCTCCATTGTTCATTGCTAAAAAGACCCTTATGCCTTTTATAATGCAATTCTACATGCGCTTAATCAGGCCACATTCACACCATACATTTAAAGTACTGTGATACCTCTTTAAACAGTCATGGTTCCCGCCCCAAGAAATTCTGGGAGCTGTAGGGGTTTTTTTCCTGGGTGCTGAGAGTTGTTAGGAGACCCCTCACAGAGCTACAGTTACTAGGATGGTTTAACAATCAATCCATCTTCACAGGGAACTCTGGGAATTGTAGCTTTAAAAGCATTTTGTGAATGTAGCTTCAGAAGTAAAGTCCTTACTATGTTTGGAGGAGATTCCTCACATGTAGCTGTTCACAGAATTATAGGCTCGTGTTTTTAATCTAATGTTGCAACTTGACAAGTGTTTTGTTTTGTTTTACCTGCAAAGTTTGTTTCTATTTTATTTCTTAAGGATATGCCGTATTTTTCGCTCCATAAGACACACTTTTTTCCCTTGTAAAAAGTAAGGGAAATGTCTGTGCGTCTTATGGAGCAAATGCATGGTCCCTGGGACAGAATGAGGACGGCACTTGCTGACCTCCCTGCTGCCTCTGCATTGAGAAGCCAGCTAAGAAATGCCATCACATCCTGCTCCACCCTGCAAACCACTCCTGGTTAGGGATCAGGCAGTTTAGCATGTTTCTAGGTCAGTGCCGGAAACTAGTCATTTCCAACAAAATCACCCGTTTCCTAATTATAGGATTGAGGATAATGCTGGCTGGTGAGCCTCACAGGAAGCCGCTTTTTCTTTGAAATTATGGACGGGGAAGGAACACCTCTCCTCCCTTGTGGACCTTTCCTCCTTGTGCCCTGTAGTCCCAATGAAAGCCAGCCACTCCCTCTGCCTAATGATAGGGCCGGCACTGCTTGTAGGCTGCTTCCAGATGGCCTGCTTATTGAGCAAATCCATCCTGATTTGTTCGCAGGGAGATTAGTCGGCGTCGACTATTTAAGGAACTTCCCTTCTGATTGGTGGAGAGGTTAGATGACGCATCTCGCGTTTCCCATTGCATCTTCCCACCCAGTTCTTTATTTGCAAAAAGTCTGGTCCTTTGGATAAGTGGGTTTGTTGCGCGAGGCTATAATGTTGCAATCTGAATTGCCATGTGCTTGAATCCCGTCCCAAAACAGCAATAACCTAGATGTGCCCTTGTATATTTGTTTGGTCAATGACTGTTAACCCCGATGGATCTGTTCTGCTTCTATACTTGGAGGCAGTCCTGCGTCTGAATGCCACTTGCGGGAAACATCAGCAGGCGAAGGTGCTCTTATGCTCAGGTCCTGCTTGTCAACTTCCCATAGACATCTGTTTGGCCACAGTGGGAACAAGATACTGGAGTTCGATGGACCACTGGCCTGATCCTGCAGGACTCTTCTTATGTTATTTATACATGTGTATAAACTGTGTTTATGGAAACTTTTGTAGAAACCATGAGCAGTCAAACTAAAAATGTGATTTGCAGGATAGTTTTTTGGGATGCAGGTGGCTCTGTGGTCTAAACCACAGATCCTAGGGCTTGCCAATCAGAAGGTCGGTGGTTCGAATCCCCACAATGGGGTGAGCTCCTGTTGTTCAGCCCCAGCTCCTGCCAACCTAGCAGTTCGAAAGCACATCAAAGTGCAGGTAGATAAATAGGCACCGCTCAGGTGGGAAGGTAAACGGCGTCTCCGTGCGCTGCTCTGGTTCGCCAGAAGTGGCTTAGTCATGCTGGCCACAGGTTACAAACTCCGCTAACCTGGAAGAGTTACCTCGAGTTGAGAACTTTGCCCCAGGATGAGAACGGAAATTGTGTGACGGCGGTGCAGCAGCAGCAGCAGTAAGAGGCCCTATTAGTGAAAGCACGCCTCTAGATGAGAACAGTTTCAAGTTAAGAACGGACCTCCGGAATGAATTAAGTTTGTAACTAGAGGTACCACTGTATTCTAAGTTGCTGGGACAGGTTGCATTTCTCAGTTGTAAGCACTTGGTTTTGTTATGGATCACTGATCCAAGAAGATATTCTTACATTTGTTTAAAATTTTTCTAGACTGCTCTTCTAATAGCTCAAAGCAGTTTGCAAACGATAATTAAAATCTGGTTACAAATCCATTTGTGTACTATTGTTTTTCAAGACTCAGTCAATATAAGTTTTGCCAGGTTTCCTTATACATTTGAGTAACCTATGGAATTTGAAGAATGAACACACGCCAACCTTCCACAATGCATTTTCAACCTCAGGGTTTTGTCTAAATACCGATCAGATTTGGTTTCGCTCTGTGGCCTTTCTTGATGAATACGGGCTTTGGTATGCTTCCTCAAGGGCAATTAGTAATAAAGTAGCCAGGCCAAGATCAAACAATGGCAGATATATAATAGCCAGGAGGGGGGGGGGGAATGAATATCATACCAAGTAGATTAAAGAGATGACCAGCTCAGAAGGGTGGGAGATATCACACGTATTTTTATTTTTATTTAATATTCCTTCCAGTGCCCAACTATAGCTGCTGCATACCAGCTTGGCTTGTGACCACAACAGAGCTATAAAGCAACAGAGGAGGAGAGACAGGAATCTGGAAGTTCCTTTGGTTCTGATCTGAGTTTGGTGGCTAGGTGGCGCCATCTGCCTTATGTGTTTCAGCGCATTGTTTGGTCTTCCTCTCCCTCTCTCTCTCTCTCTCTCTCTCTCTCTCTCTCTCTCTCTGTCTTGTGCCTGGCTTTGCAGATCTTCCGTTTGCTTTATGTGAGGGATGGGGAAGCTGTAGCCATCTAGACGCTGCTGGACTACACTGCCCATCAGCCCCATCCAGCATGGGATGATGGGAGTTGTAGTCCAGCAACAGTACCTCAGGTTAAGTACTTAATTCGTTCCAGAGGTCCGTTCTTAACCTGAAACTGTTCTTAACCTGAAGCACCACTTTAGCTAATGGGGCCTCCTGCTGCTGCCGCTGCGCCGCTGCTGCATGATTTCTGTTCTCACCCTGAAGGAAAGTCCTTAACCTGAAGCACTATTTCTGGGTTAGCGGAGTCTGTAACCTGAAGCGTATGTAACCTGAGGTACCACTGTATGCATGTTTCTGAAAAACAATAACAACAACATCATACTATTCAACAGTATATTGATTCCTCTTCTCTAAGGGTATCCTGTATATATCTGTTTCATCCTACTTGTGCGAACTTTTTACCATCAGATATTGTTTACCATACATTGATAAATGTTTCCTGCAAAAAAAAATTTCTTGCATTTCATATTGTTAAGGGCTCTGTGCTTCCAACAAATAATGAGGACTCCAGAGGTCGTACAACAGAATTTATTTTCCTTTGGATGAAAGAGCACTGAAATATTATGATGCTTTTGTAATATCTGTTTATTTACAAATATACAAATAATAGCACAGCAGAAGCAAGTAAGCACTAGTATAGCGTGCAGCAAATCCACTAGCTTGCATCAGAATCCTGGAAAGACTCCCTGCATCCAAGGTGATTCACCTTCAGCCAACTTGCAGCTCCAAAATTCTCTTTCTCTTTCTCTCTGGTTCTTTCTAAATCCAAATTGCACACTACATTCAGATTGTGTTCTTCGCACACCTGCTGGAAGGAGTCACCATCCCACAATCTGTTGAGTATTACATTCCAATGGCTGGAGAGAGATTCCCAGCTATCAGGTGAAAATCTCTTGTCATTAGTTCCCACTAAAGAAACATCAAGCAATCATTCTGGACTCCTAGCAAGCTATCAGGGAGAGATGTGAAACCACATTGGCAAGTCTGTCTTATTGTACTGTAGTTTTAGTAAACCGGATCCCTACAGGACGCTTGCTATTCTCTTGGTTGCATATTTATTAAAGGTTTGTTCCCTTGCCTGGGCAAGGGCCAGTGGTATACAGTAGTAAGGCAATAGTAAGGGTTAGAGAAGGTGTTGTCCCTCCAGGTGTTTCTGAGCTACAATTTCCATCATCCATGGACATTGGCCATGCTTGCTGGGGCTGATGGGAGTTGTAGTTCCACAACATCCAGAGGGACAAAGGTTCTCCACACCACGTCAAGTTATATGAATGGATATTAGCTAAGAATAGAACCTTACGAGGCAGTCTGCACACCAGACTCTGGAGAAAGAACCACAGCAGATGTCCAGCAAGGGTTAAGATGTCCTGGCCTGGTTGTCAGGAAATGCATGGTCCTTATTCCAAAATATTAATAATCTGAGCCCTGCGAAGTGTAGGAAGCAGAATGTCCTGAGTATATGTTAATTCAAGCAGCAGCAACTGAGCAGGTCGGTTACTTGGCACATTCCCATCTGAGTATACCATCTCCATTGCGTGGCTTCTCAAAATTTCCCGCACGGCATAGCATGTGGAACATAGCTTCCTCCTGACCCACATGTGTTCTGTTGTTGAGATCTTCTCATTTTCAGACAGTAGCAGACCTTAGAAAAATGAAAAATGAGTTAGTACATTAAGTTATGTTCACCTAGCGACAGCCAAATCTGTCAGTTTCAGTTTCTCGTTTTCCCACCTCTTTCATTCATTTCTCCATACGTCCATGTCAGTTTGTGATTTTTTTTAAAAAAAACCTCATGAAAATTCACCTGCATTTTTTGCATACAATTTTGCCTCCTATGCACATTTTTGCAAAGCAATTTCCCTTAATATAATGCATTTTTGTATGCTATTTTCACGAATGTGTGCATTCTAATGCTCATTTTACCCTAGTATATGCATTTTTATATTCATTACATTACTGAAGAACCACATTGCAGCATTCATAGAAGTGCGGATTTTGAAGGAGGGTTGGGTTTCAGTTCATGACTTATTTCAGGAAGTGTGGATCAGAAAGATTCACCTTCAAATGCAAACTAAATCTAATGTCATCCCAATCCCTCTGCTCACCTCCCTTTTGTCTTACTATAATTTTTTGGAAATGGCTCCCCCTGGAGACAGGGAGGAGGAATACACAATTGTGTTGATTTTTTTCCTGCTCTCTATGCCTGCTTAGGGGATAGAAACAGGGCCTGTTACAGATGAATTCCACCCACTATTCTGCTGTTCTGTACTTTCGGAATGATTTCTAGATTGAAACTTGGTTGGGACAGCACTCAACTGGAATTCGGGGAAGGGTTCGTCTTAATTTCGCCAAGGGAAAACTGAACGGCTTTCCCTTCTATTTCTTTTTGACACCACTGTTTACAATCCTTTCCCCAGCTGAGAAACATGAAACTTTCAGCTCCCCCTTTCAGTGAACTGTTGGCCAACAAAAGGACCTTGTCATTAAGAATAAGTGCCCAACTTTGCTTCCTTCCTCCTTCCTCCTTCCTCCTTCCTCCTTCCTCCCAGCTCCTTTTCCTTTTAGGTCATATATTTTAGATTTGCGAGCCTGAGGGCAGGGGCTCGTTACTGGATCATTGTGAGCCATTCAGAGGGATATTTGGGGTTGAAGAACAGGGATTTTTAAAAATCCTTCAAAGAAATGAATTCAGGAAATGCTCCTTGCAAGGGGCAGAAACATGGGAATTGTGGGGATGTCCATGTATGTTTTCCATTGTGATGCATCTCACATACCTCCCTCAAGCTGACTCACACATACACCTAGGATCAGATAAGTGAGCACAGGACCTCTGAAGGGAAAGTTCCCATAGTCTCATTTTCTCACCCCCAGGAGCAGTTTTGTCTCCTTCTCCTCCTTCTCATCCCCTAATCCACTCCCCCCCATGGTGATCAGTGCAGTGACAACCTTAAAAACCCCCCATTCACATACTTACTGTTAAACCTGTTCCAACGATCGCCATGCCTGCACCAATACAGCCCAGAACAATCAGGGAAAGGGCCCAGGGTGCAAGCGATACATGATCTGAAGCGGTTGTAGGTTCTGTAGGACAAAGGAAAGCTAGAAGGAGAACAAATCGAAGCCAACACCCTTATTATTCTCCAGCCTACTGATTTGCAGCATAACCCATTTCTCAGCGTCCGATCACCGGGCAAGGGAAGGGTTGCTACTAAGGCTAAGCAAACTTTAGATTCTAAACGACTATTCAATGACCGCATCCCTAAAATCTGCTCTAGAGGGCTTGAGGGACCCTTTGAGAAAGCCTGAGAGGTGGTGTAGAGCTATGGGGGTGGGGGGCATGAAGGTGGAATTAGCAATCATTGCCTCTTTCCCAGCACTGCTGATGAAAGATTCCACTGCTGTTATGTACTGAGTTGAATAGGATCCAGAATGCAGCAGTCTGATTGGTCGTAGAACAATAGGATTCAGAATGCAGCAGTCTGATTGGTCCTAGAACAATGCAGCAGTATGATTGGTCTGCAGGAGCCACCCAATCCAGCTCCAGATGGAAGTGAATCCACAACCTGATTGGCCTACAGGAGAATCCCGGAATTAGCCAATCACGTGCAGCCCATTGTGTAAATTATGTATATAAAGCAGATACTTTGGGGGAACATTCATTCCTCCTCACCACTATGAGCTGAATAAAGAGCATGAAATCCACTCTCGACTCCGAGTATATTTCAACTGCCAAAGATCTCAAAGTAGCATGCATCGTTTTCTGCCCTTCATCGTATCCCTTCAACAACCCTGCGTGGTAGGTTGACCAGCCCAAGGTGAAGCCCAGTAGGCCTTCATGGCCAATTGGGGATTTGAACCTGAATTTCTGCAGCCACCGTCCCACTCTCTAATCACTCTACAAGGCTGGCTCTCTCTGAGTTACATTGGAATCATTCTTACCATGGGTGGTGGTGCTGGTGGTGGTCGGAGTTGTGGTGGTGGTTTCTGTTGGCAGAAAACAAGGGGCGAGGACATGCATGAATGCTGCAGAATATCATTTCAGCTTGCAAGCGGAGAATGAAAAAGGACTTTTCTTGGTGAAATGATGCCAGGGTGACTAGCTTGCTGTTGCTGACCCTACTCTGGGTTGTAGTCCTATGTCAGGGACCGCTTCTTACCTCAAGGACTACCACTCCCCATATAAACCAACCCGGACTCTTTGTTCATCATCTGAGGCCCTTCATCTGGCTCCTCCACAAGAGGTCTGGAGGGTGGCAACATGAGAATGGGCCTTCTCTGCAGTGGCTCCCCATTTGTGCAATGCTCTCCCCAGGGAGATTCGCCTGGCGCCTTCATTATACATCTTTAGGCGCCAGACAAAATGTTCCTCTTCAATTAGGCCTTCAGCTGATTGACATCCAATGTCCTTTTAAATGTGTTGGGGGCAGTGCCGGATTTACACATAAGCTATAGCTTAGGGCCCCATTCTTTTGGGGGCCCCAAAAAAAAATTAAAGGGAAGAAACTCGGATGTACATTTCCAAAATATAAGATAAAACACAAATAAAATAAAACCTACATACAGCAGCATTATTTTGTGTTGTGTAGGCTCCTATGATGCTAGTAATGGGCCCTGCCTGCTAGCCTGATCCCTAAAATATCACTGGTTTGCTCATTTCTAGATATAGGGTGCCTACATTCTGCATGGACTGGTTGCATGGCAACATGTGCAAATGGCTTTAGATGCCTGTTAGGTCCATAAATGACCATATAGCATAGATTCAACACAAAAAACAGCGGCAATCTGTTGTTGACAAAGGACAGCTGGACATATAAAGGGTCCCATTATCTTCAGTAGCTTAGGGCCTCATCAAACTTAAATCCGGCCCTGGTGGTGGTGGTGGGGTTATGTGTTTGTTTTGCTCTTGCTTTTATTGTGTCTTTTGTGTTTTTATTTTATACTTTTAACACCCCTGAGATCTTCAGATGAAGGGTGGTGTACAATTTGTGTGCGTGCATATATATATTCTTTTAGGAGGCCACAGTTCGAATTCCTCTTCAAGCAGGCTGGTTAATATCCCACAGCCTTCTAATTGTATCTGTGGTGGGGAGGGGGCTTATTGTTTTGCTGTCTCGGTTTAATTATTTACTTGTGGTTTACGTTGCATTTATTCTGTGAACTGCCTTGCGGTCTCTCGATGAAGGGCGGTGTAATAAATAAATAAATAAATAAAATAAAAGTAACTTTCTAATCACTCTACCAGGATGGCTGTCTATGAGTTACATTGGAATCAATCTTACCAGTAGTGGTAGTTGTCGGAGTTGTGGTGGTGGTGGTGGTCGGAGTTGTGGTTGTGGTGGTGGTCGGAGTCGTGGTGGTGGTGGTGGCTTTTGTTGGCAGAAAGCAAAAGCAGGGACAGACATGAATGCTGTGGAATGTCATTTCATCTCGCAAGAGGACAACGTAAAACGACTTTACGTGGTGAAACGTTACCAGTGTGACCAGCTCTCTACAGCTGACCCATCTCCAGGTTGTATTACAGTGGTACCTCGGGTTAAGTACTTAATTCATTCTGGAGGTCCGTACTTAACCGGAAACTGTTCTTAACCTGAAGCACCACTTTAGCTAATGGGGCCTCCTGCTGCTGCCACACCGCCAGAGCACGATTTCTGTTCTCATCCTGAAACAAAGTTCTTAACCTGAAGCACTATTTCTGGGTTAGCGGAGTATGTAACCTGAAGCGTATGTAACCTGAAGCGTATGTAACCCGAGGTACCACGGTATAAGAGAAAAGGCACAGCTTTTGCTTAAATGTGGGGTGGTAGAGTGGGGAGGCAAAAGGTGGGGCTGTGGCAGAAAATATCTCCCGTGTAGTTCATAGCAGTGGCAAAGAAAGAAAAAAAACACACAGAGGAAAGCAGTGACAGAGAAAAATGGCAGCTATGAGCCATTGGTGGCTGCCATCCCCACCCCCCACCCCTCACAAACCACCCTCAAAACAACACTACATCATCACGCAGCATAAAGTTTCTGAGGCAAAAAATGGCCACCGGAGGGCAGTGCTACAGAGGGTGGTAAATACTGTAATGCCTTTACTCCAGAACAAAACAAACAAACAAACAAACAAAGCTGGCATCTCATGGCCCAGCTGTTCCGTATGTTTTCAGAAAGAGATAGAATCTTACCCGTCGTTGTGGTTGTTGATGGCGTCGTTGTCGTTGTCGTAGGGGGTGGGGTTGTTCCCCCTCCCCCTCCTGAGAGTAGACCACCAAGGCCTCCATTTCCTGAGAGGAGACCACCAAGGCCTCCATCCCCTCCTCCTCCTAAGTTGAGGGAGCCACCAGCGGATCCGTCCCCTAAGTTGAGAGAGCCACCCGGGGCTCCGTTTTCCCCTCCTATGCTGAGGGAGTCACCTCCTCCTCCTAACAGCTGGGCAGCTGTTGAGAAAAGAGAACAAAAAATGTTGGTGAACCAGGTCAAGCCTCCTCTCTCCTAGTTCAAGTCACAAACACACATAAATCCCAATTCTTTATAGAGAAATGATTGGGCCTTCATTCAGAACTGTACCAGAGACATCTCTGCTTTGCCACAGGTCGGCCTCTCTACCTCACGGACAAGAACACATGTTCTGTCTCATGTTCTGCTTCTCAGGAAGTCTCATGTCACAGAAGTTACCTTCTCCTCAAGCTTTGGTATGCCATAAAAACCTAGAGTGGCAGTCTGGAGGTAGGCCATCCCAGGTTAAGCCTGTTGAACCAGCAAGCAGATTATCTGAAAGCAAGGATAGGGGATCTGAGGGCTTCCATGTGTTGATGGACTCCAGTTCCCATCAACCCCCAACATGGCCAACAGTCAGGGATAATGGGAGTCGTAGTCCACCAACATCTGGGGCACCACAAGTTCTCCATTCCTGTCTTGAAGGACGGGATTGGAACATTTTCAGTAAAAATGGTGAGTATTAGGCTTTCAGACTTCACAGTTTGCAACAGGTTTCTAGTTACTTCTTCTGCAGAAGCTTAGATCCGAGATAATCAAGCTGCTCAATGGCTTTGGGTCTTTGCCATTCAGTTTTATCAAAATCTTAAGAATAAAGGTTGCAAGATAACTGAACTGTGATTGGGTTTTAAGGTCCAAGAGAGTAAGGAACAAGCTCCACCCCAAATTGAATTGGATTGGCAATGGAAATAAGCCAAGCTATTTCCCCAAAATACTTTCCTGAACCAATCTGATTTTGGAAAAATAAATGGCCCACACTTCATTTTAAGAGATTAATTTGGTATTCAAGTGGTCCCCTGCCCAAGTAGTTTTACAGAGCCAGCCTCTTGCACCCATCTTCCTTATACTTTTTGATTCCTGGGCGTCAGCAGATTTTAAATCGTCACTCGCTGACTGGCATTAGGACTGAACTGAACACTGGCCAGCAAGCCAAAATACTAGTTGGGCTCATTTACAGTATATGACTGACTAAGCATGAAGTTGGGTAGTTGGTTTGTTTAGTTAGTTAACACTTTTCTGCACTGCCTTTCTGCTCTAGGGTGGTTCACGAGGTACAACAAAAAACAATGCCCAAAAAGCACAGAACAAGAAGCAACCATAACAAATCACAGGCAGAACCGTCTCTTGTCATGAACACTCAGCTCCTGTCACCCACAGATTAACTATTGCTAAATCTTTTGGCAGAAATTTTAACATCAAGCTTCAGATGGCTATATAAGGATCTCAGAGGCAGCATTTCACAAGCTAGTATGAAGGACCCTCAATGGGATGCTTCAGCCTCTGTTAAAATGTAGGCTGCCCCTGGTTCCATGAAGAGTAGGGATGTTTGTAGGATTGGTTTTTGAGCCAAAAACCTAGGATTTGGGAAGCCAATATCCCCAAAACTCTCTTAATGGTCAGGCGTTTTCATCTCTCGTCATTGCTGTTTGTTCATGATTCTCTCGCATTTTGTATGTAATCCACCTTCTGGCGAAGGCTTTTTCCTCCTTCTTGGAATGCTCTGAACCAGTCAAGGGTCACATAGTGAATATGACAATGTCTCAGCTATGTAGCCACAACTAATCCAGAATTCGGCAGCTAGACTGGTGACTGGGAGCAGCCGCCAAGACCACATAACACCGGTCTTGAAAGACCCACATTGGCTCCCAGTACGTTTCCGAGCACAATTCAAAGTGTTGGTGCTGACCTTTAAAGTCCTAAATGGCCTCGGCCCAGTATACCCAAAGGAGCGTCTCCACCCCCATCGTTCTGCCCGGACACTGAGGTCCAGCGCCGAGGGCCTTCTGGCAGTTCCCTCACTGTGAGAAGTGAAGTTACAGGGAACCAGGCAGAGGGCCATCTCGGTAGTGGCGCCCGCCCTGTGGAACGCCCTCCCATCAGATGTCAAAGAAATGAACAACTCTCTTACATTTAGAAGACATCTGAAGGCAGCCTTGTTTAGGAAAGTTTTTAATGACTGATGTTTTAATGGATTTTTAATCTTTTGTTGGAAGCCGCCCAGAGTGGCTGGGGAAACCCTGCTAGATGGGCGGGGTATAAACAATAAATTATTATTATTATTAGCCAATCAGAGTTAGCTATACAATGATGTTACGGTGGGCAAATATCTCTGAATTGAGAATGTGGGCGATGCTTCCTGGACTGGCCATATGAATGACCCCTGTCATTTGGTTTGTTAGATTTCCTTTGCTCTGTATAGGTTAACACACTCTCTATCTTTAAGCATCCTGTCCACAAAATAATCTAAAATGGGGCACCCTCTACTCCCCATGGAGAGGGGAGTTGAATGGCCTTCAGGGTAGAAACAGCAGGCACAGCTAGAGCTAAGCAACTCTATGCCACCCCTAGAAATAGCAGCAAATTCAAGTTTGGAAACACCTGGTTGATGTCTAGAAAGCAACATGTAGTTCTGCCTTCAAGGAAGCTAGATTTTGGGTGCACCTCTTAGCTTTCTCAAGCCACCTGTAGTTTCTTATCCTTATCACAGGGTAGGGGTGCCAACCTGAATAAAATAATGGGGAGGGAGGCAGGTAAGCCTTGCCCTGCACAATCAATCGCATGATGTGGCAGAGGCACACTATTTGAATGGCAACGCCCATCAACTTTGGGAGCGGCCAGCCCTTCAAATATTTTAGGGGGGTAAAGGGACCTCGGCACCTAGGAGCTGGCTCCTTGTCACTGGGCTGTGTGAGGCTAGAGGGGAAGATGGGGAAACCATGCACATCTCCTTGAGTTCCTTGGAGGAATGGTAGGATGGGAATGTAATAATAAACAATAAGACAATCGCATTGTTTATGTGTCACATTTGCCCACGAATCTGCAGGCTTCAGGTAGGTCAGAACAGGTAGCACGGAGGACAAAAAATAATAATACTGAATTGAACCAGCCCTTTTTGATCATTTACCAATATGAGGCTTTGTTATTTTGTCCTATATACCCAGCAAACTACCTGGGACGCGGGTGGCGCTGTGGTCTAAACCACAGAGCCTACGGCTTGCCGATCAGAAGGTCGGCGGTTCGAATCCCCGCAACGGGGTGAGCTTCCGTTGCTCGGTCCCTGCTCCTGCCCACCTAGCAGTTCAAAAGCACGTCAAAGTGCAAGTAGATAAATCGGTACCGCTCTGGTGGGAAGGTAAACGCCGTTTCCGTGTGCTGCTCTGGTTCGCCAGAAGCGGCTTAGTCATGCTGGCCACATGACCCGGAAGCTGTATGCCTGCTCCCTTGGCCAATAAAGCGAGATGAGCGCTGCAACCCCAGAGTCAGCTACGACTGGACCTAACGGTCAGGGGTCCCCTTACCTTTACCTTTACCCAGCAAACTACCTCTGGAACAAATGTAACTAACATGGATTAACCACAGCAACGGAAAGAAAAAGTCTTACCTGTTCCTTGAAAGCACAGAGCAAAACATATGAGCACATTTCTTAAAAGAGGCACAAATGACATCTTGGACAGGCCCATGGCTGGCAAGTAGAAAGGAGATGGGCAGCTGGCTCTCAGATGTGATGGTGGTAGTTTCAGGTCTTCTGGGTTCCTGCAGGTTTCTGCTGCTTAAATACTTCTGAACAAAGTGACTCCTCACATCCAGCTAACCAGTTCAGGCTGTCATCACAAGATTGGTTTGCTGACATACATTTTGCACAACAGGATCCTTTTCCATGTGTTTTCGTAAGGAAAAAACCAAAACCCTACCGTCCACTCATTCGAAAAAGGCGGATGTAACAGGAAACTGACGCACTCTTCCACCTAGATATTAGGGATCAAGAAAAATCACTCTGCGGGCATTTTGGGAAGTGATGTGCTGGAACATTGGGAAGAACACCGGTAAAAAAACCCAACCCTGTGAAAATTTGGGATTTTGTTCTTAGAGAACACAGAGTCCCATTGTGCTAGGCTAGCAGGATTTCATGCAGCTCACTTGGTAGAGCATGAGACTCTCTTAAATCTCGGGGTTGTGGGTTTGAGCCCCATACTGGACAAAAGATTCCCACATTGCAGGGGGTTGGGCTAGATGACTACTGTGGTCCCTTCTAACTATACAGTTCTGTGATTCTAACTCTGCCTGTACTGTGTTGCATTTGCTTTTGAATGCCAGTTGCTGGAATCACAAGTGCGGAGAGCACTGTTGGATTCAGGTCCTGCTTAGGAGTCTCCGACAGGCATCTGGTTGGCCACTGTGAGAACAGGATGATGAATCCCATCTAGGATTGGCCATTGGCCTGATCCAGCACGCTCTTTTTGCATTCTTATGGACACAACCCATAGCTTGTACCAGTAGGAGAGAGCTAGTTCACAGCCCAATGAGGCCTAGAGCTCAACAACTGCTTTATAAAAGTAAAGGGACCCGTGACCATTAGGTCCAGTCGTGACCAGCTCTGGGGTTGTGGCGCTCATCTCGCTTTATTGGCCGAGGGAGCCGGCGTACAGCTTCCGGATCATGTGGCCAGCACAACTAAGCTGCTTCTGGCAAACCAGAGCAGTGCACGGAAACACCATTACCTTCCCGCCAGAGCAGTACCTATTTATCTACTTGCACTTTGATGTGCTTTCGAACTGCTAGGTTGGCAGGAGCAGGGACCGAGCAACGGGAGCTCACCCCATCGCGGGGATTCGAACCGCCAACCTTCTGATCAGCAAGTCCTAGGCTCTGTGGTTTAACCCACAGCACCACCTGTGTCCCTGAACAACTGCTTTACCCTTAGGCTAATGGATTACTCAAAATTAAAGTGCGAATGCAGGGTAGCGATCCCCACTTCCCCTCCTAGGAGTGCTTTGAAATGGTTCCATGCAGAAGTGTTCATTGTGAGAAATCATCCTGGAATAACAAAAACACATGGATTTCACCAAATTGAAAATAAAAATACAGTGGTACCTTGCTTCTCAAACTTAATCGGTTCCGGAAGTCTGTTCCAAACCAGTTTTCTCTGTTTTGTAGTTTTACGTCTTAATATCGGTATTTAAATTGTTTTGTAATTTATTTACTGTAAGCTGTCCACAGAACTTTATGTTAGGGGGTGGCAAATTAGGCAAGGGATTATATTAGCATTAGGATTTAGCACAGATGGCCTGCTGACTTCATTCTAAGGAAAGGCTACCAAAGGTGGATTTGGGAATGTAATTAAATGGGAACAGGTTGGATATGTGATGAGACACTCAGCATAAGCTGGTGCCTAAGAAAGAGATTTGAAAGATTCCAGTCTGGACTTTCGTCACTGGAACAAAATGTCCCTATTAAGTGGTGACATTCAGGACTTCATTCTGCAGTCATGATCTATTGTTTCCGGAGGCGATGAGGGAAAAGTATGCTGGATTTCAAACTGCTCCGGTCTAACAAAATTCTTGTTTGGTGTTACTTGCTGATTCTATGTCTCGTTTAATGTTTCATTAGTTTATTTTACATTCAATATAAGAATGTATATGAGTGAGACATGAATGGCAGAAAGGTGGTGAATGCCAACATCTTGACTATTGGAACTTGTCTGTGTATGTGTGTGTTCTCTATTTCCAGTAAATATTTGTCAGTTTGCATTTCTTAGTGCAGAAAGTATTGACCTGATGTGTAGAGATCTCTCCTATTCTAAATAATTCAAGAGGGTTCTGGAAGCTTCTCTGTGTGAAAGAAGCTTCATGATGTTTGGGTTATACTTTCAGAGAAGCTGAGAACAGCTGGCTTAAACTGGTTTTGTTATCTCTTCTCTCAAGGTCATGCTAACTATAAAAGCAGGGCCAGAAGGAGCCTGGATTTCACTTTCTCTTTCTGTCTCTCTTCCTTCTAGTGTGGTGTTCTTTATGCAGTGTTTAGTCTTATTATATGTTATTGTAAGTTTAGGTTAAGTCTGCTGCAACTGGACTTCTTATAGACAGTGCCAATCCTGAATGTCTTGGATTGGTGACCATTATGCTCACTTGCCTTCAGTAGCAGTAAAGCACTGCTGGATGAAATTGCCTCTGGTCTACTTTTGGGGAATCCTGCAACGTATTTAAGTTTTCACTCTGCTAACTATACGCATTGGAATCTAAAGGTAAAGGTAAAGGGACCCCTGACCATTAAGTCCAGTCGCGGATGACTCTGGGGTTGCGGTGCTCATCTCGCTTTATTGGCCAAGGGAGCCGGCGTTTGTCCACAGACAGCTTCCGGGTCATGTGGCCAGCAGGACTAAGCTGCTTCTGGCGAAACCAGAGCAGCACACGGAAACACCGTTTACCTTCCCGCCGGAGCGGTACCTATTTATCTACTTGCACTTTGACGTGCTTTCTAACTCATAGGTTGGCAGGAGCTGGGACTGAGCAACGGGAGTTCACCCTGTCACAGGGATTCTAATTTCAATGACAATGTTGGCAATCACATTTTGCTGAGTGTCAACATTCACATCTTCAACATTAACCTGCTCTTCTTCCTGCAGGTGCCAAGGTGGCTGACCACAAACGACACAATACAATCAGCATTAAATAATAGTTAAAAAGTCAACACACAATGCAACATTAAAGGCATAGCCCAGCTGGCAGGGTTGCAGACCGATACATTTCTTCAAGGAAATGGCACACAGCTCAGCAACACTTCCCAGTGGGTCTTGCTGCTGTAGAGCCTTCCATCCTTTCTAAAGATCTTCCTCTCCCAGATGTTTCCCAAGCAGTCTCAAAATTGTGTTTGCTCACCTTTGACCTCTGTTCTGCCCTTACACACTCTTTAGGACCAGGGGGCAGGAGAGGGAGAGGTCTTTGGAACAGTGGCGTAGCGTGGGGGGTGCAGGGGGGGCCGGCCGCACCAGGCGCAACATCTGGGGGGGCGCGCTCGCACTCGCAGCTCTCTGCCCCTACCTGGCTCACTCACTCTCTCTCACTGCAGTGCTGGCTGTGCGAATCCGATCCGAGCCGCTGGCACCCACCGCCCATTGTGGGTGCCAGGCGTGTGGTGCGGAGAGAGAGTGAGGGACTATCTGGGGGAGGGACAGTGCAGCGGCCGCCCAGCACAGCGCAGGAGCGAACCACACCAGACCAGACCAGGCAGCAGCAAGAAGAAGCTGGCAGCGGCGGCAGGTTAGGGGTTAGGGGGCGCAAATTACTTGCCTTGCCCCGGGTGCTGACAACCCATGCTACGCCGCTGCTTTGGAATCCACAGCAGCAGCCTCTTGACCCCCCTCTCCTCCGCTTCACCTTCGGAGTCTGAACTGCTTCCTGTCACTGGCTCTCCCTGCTCAACTGAGGGGGATGAGGACTTCAAGCCTAGAGACTGGTGGTGGGACACCGGCCACACCTCAGAGGATGGGACGAGCTGAAATGTGCTAGAAGCAGGGAGCCTGAGGGATAGCGAAGAGATGGAAGCAGGCAGGTGCCCCCCAGGCACAGGGCAAGGTGATGAGGTTTCTCCAGTTTGGATGCAGGTGCTGACATAGATGACAGAGGGGAGGTAGACCCTGCAGTTCTCCCACAGAGCCACTCTGAGAGCCAGTGTGGTGTAGCGGTTAAGAGCGGTGGACTCGTAATCTGGTGAGCCAGGTTTGCTTCCCCGCTCCTCCACATGCAGCTGCTGGGTGACCTTGGGCCAGTCACATTTCTCTGAAGTCTCTCAGCCTCACTCACCTCACAGAGTGTTTGTTGTGGAGGAGGAAGGGAAAGGAAGTTGTTAGCCGCTTTGAGACTCTTCAGGGTAGTGATAAAGCGGGATATCAAATCCAAACTCCTCCTCCTCCTCCTCCTCCTCCTCCTCCTCCTCCTCTTCTTCTTCTTCTTCTTCTTCTTCTCTGCTGACAGCTCACCAGCCCCTCTCACTCCTAGAACGAGGCATTTGTTGCATGCCAGCAGCCACAGGGGAAGTCCCTTGGGGCTCACTGTAGCAAGTGATAGCAGAAGGAGGGGCCAGATGCAGAAAGCTACAGTAGGGTTGCCATAGAATTTCCCAGGCATAGCCAGCAATCGGATGTAGTGGAAGCAGCGTCCGGGCAAAAATCATTGAAACGTCTGGGGAAATCCGGACGTATGACAACCCGTGTTGGCAGTGTTGTTTGGGGTGATTTTCCTTTGGCACAACAACTTTGCCCCAAAAAAGCTCAACAAATTTTCTGTCTGGGTTTTTACTTTTTGAAATATGGCAGCCCTAAGCTAGAGAGTGAACGAGCTCCTATTTTACACACGATCCTTAACTAAAGAACGTAACAGGTTGAATGGTAATGTTTGTAACAAATTTCTTTACTGGCTACTTCCTAATCAAGTCCAAGATGTACACCATATACAATCCTTAAGCAAGGTATGTAACCTATTTAATTAAATCCAATGGAGATATATTTCTTCCTTTCTTAATGCATTCTTGTTAGAGTTCATATATTACACAGTCTTTGAATGTGGTTAAGGAAAGGTCGCCGGAATGTCACGGAGAATACAGCTGATGAGGTTGGCTAGCATAGGTAGCAGACACAGGCAGGCTGGCTCAGGCAGCTGGGTTGGGCAGAACAAGGTTTCTGGATATTTCCTTGTTTCGCCCCGAAGGGCTTCCTCATCTGTTAATAGGTCTATATAACATACTGTATTTTCCCCTCTATAGGACGCACTTTTCCCCCTCCAAAAATGAAGGGGAAATGTATGTGCATCCTATGGAGCGAATGCAGGCTTTCGCTGAAGCCTGAGAGCGAGAGGGGTCGGTGCGCACCAACCCCTCTCACTCTCCAGGCTTCAGGCAGCTATCCGCAAGCCTTTGGAGCCCAGCGGGAGTTCCCACCGAGCTCCAAAGGCTTGCGGATTGCAGCCTGAAGCCTGGGGAGCGCAGTGCCAACTGCCACTGCGCTCCCCGGGCTTCAGGCAGCTATCCGCAAACCTTCGGAGCGCTCCCCCAGCTGCGCAACCTTGCCTCCGCTCCTGGACCTGTTCTGGGGGCTGGGGTCGGGGGAAGCTCGGGCTCCCCCCCCCCAGCCCTGTGGCTAAAAATGAAGCCACGCGCAGCCTCTCCCGGCTGGAGGGGTTGTGCGTGGCTAAAGAGGTAGCCAAGA